GGCACTGCCGCAGCTGGCACAATCACAACTGGGAAGCTTTGTACAGTATGTGGAAGGCAAGACACGGTTGTTTGGATTTTTCTGTGTTGAAGTAGAACTTACAGGTCTGAGAGATGTTTCTTTCCGTAGGATGTTGTGATCCCATTTCCTAACATCTTCCATGTTTTCTGTCCTTTTTTTCTCTGTCTGCCTCCCAAAACGCACAGCACTGCAACGCGTGATATTTGAAAGGTGGTATGTGTGTGTATTCCTACCAGATAATAAATGAGATTTTTCTGGGTTACAAGACCAATAAAGTGCAAACATGTACATTGTAAAGACTCAATAGAGGAAGAACATCGGCGGGGGATACATTATGATAAGCTAAGATAGGTGGGTGGTCCCTCCCACCTCCTTTTTTTAAATTCCCTCTACCAAGGAAGTGGAATAGGATTTTGTAACAAAAGGATCATCTTGGCCATGTCTGACGCTCAAATTCAAAAACCATGTTGAAACAATTAAGTTGTAATTCTTCTGCTTTCACCAGAACCCCTCACTGCAAGTCACCTATATCCCCATTGACTGAGAACTTTCAAAAGATTAAGTAATCCCTGCTCAGTTTTGCTACCTTTGAATGATGTTGGTACAAAAGCACACTACTGTGAGTTGTATAGGAATCTGGACCTAAAGCATGAGCTTTGATAAGTATTAATTTTATTAGTGTCAGACTTGTATAGCAGTGCAAAGTTGTGTGCAGTTCTTTGTTGTAAATTTTCAGCTACAGGTAGTGATAGAACCACTTTTGTAGGTAGTGAAGTGTGTAAGAGAGTTACAGTTTCTTTAACTTTAGTAGTTACATTGAAAATTCTTGCTTATACCTCACCTGAAGTTCTTACAGGTCCCCAGAGATAAGGGGAATATTCCTCTCTTTGTACACTGAGCTCTCTAGTTTTGAGAAACAATCTGTGCTGAAGTGATTGTAGGGTATTCTTTCTTGGAAATAAAGCCTGGTTTAAGTTCTTGAGGTTGAGGATGGCATGTGGATCTGTCCAGATGCAAATACAAATTTATATCTCTCTCACTTTGTTATGCTTTCTTTGAGGAAATGCTGCACTTTTAAGTACCATAACTTTTGTAGCAATGTTGCTGTGCAGTTTTGTCAGATGTAATCACTTTGAAAATGCTTTCAAAAGTAATACACAATGCCATGGAGAAATTTCATATGCTTTTAGAAATAACGCTGGAACTGGACTGCAAGGAAAAGTAATTTTGTTTAAGTGTTTGTGATTGACACTCAGATAATATTCAAAGAGGAGCTGTAACATATGTAACACATGCTTTGATGTTTGAAGTGTCCTCTCTCAAAGCAGCAGCATAACTGGTGGTTATTAGTGATTATTAAAGACATGGGTATGTTACTAATCAGGCAACTAAGTTACCAAGCCAAATTCTAAATCTGTAATTATATTTGGCCTCCTTAAAACGAGGAGACATGTTTGTACTATTTCTGTCGAAAACCACTGTATCTGATAAAACCAATTAATATGGTTGGTTTTTTCTTTTTCTGTGGCCCATGACAGAAAAAATAGCTGAATGCTTAGTTTCTGACACTTTGTAATGGAAATGAAACAATTCTTCCTCTTCCTTTTGAAAATTTGACCTTCTAAGTTTTCAGGACAGTTTAGATTTGAAGTTTCTTTATTTTGTCACTTCAAATCATGTCATGTTGCCAGTTAAAATTGGCTTTGTGTGCATCTCTGCTGTGTTCGTTTGCTTACAGCTCAAGTATATCTGTGGTTTTGCTGCAGCCAGTAATGGATTACTACTGACAAAAGTTGTTTGTTTATTTGAGTGACAAGCATGTGTTCTTTTGTCTCTGGTTTTAAGTGAGTAGATTTCTCTCACACTGAAGATAACAGGCAGATATCCATAGTAAAGTTTCTTCAGCAAACAGTGAAAGCCAGTGGTGTTTGTCCGTGCCTGTTACTGTTCTGGAGTTTTTGAAGCCTGATTTTGATAGATCACAAACATTGTGGAGCTGATAAAATACTTGTTTAGCTCTTGAGGCCCAAAAAAGCCTCTGTCATTTTTAATTTGTGAAAGCAAGGACAACCACATTCAAGAAAGATGTACAGTGGTATCTGCTCCTTGCTACCATCATGAACCAAATTCAGCTGATCCTCTGGAGGTAAAATGTCTGTTTCCCTTTGATCTCAGTTGCTGTAGCCATACTGGTACAGGGACATAAAATAGTAACCACAATAATGAACCTAGACCTGAGTGAAGCCAGTGATGGCAGATAGAGCTAATTTAACAAATGACAAAGAAGTTTGGAGGATTTTGTAAGAGCAAAAAGCACCAAGGATGCTGAGGAACTGGATTCCAGTGGATATGTGTTTGCATTGCCAGTTGTGCCATTGGCTGAGTGTTGTGGACATCAACATCCCAGAGAAGTATTGTCTGTCACTGCCAACATTGAAACTGCAACCATATTGCAAATCTACAACTGTAGATCAGTTCACTTCTATGGCCATGATAAGGAAACATTTGTTCCACATGGAAGAAAAATGTGTTCCTGTTTATTCATAAACAGTGAAGTCTGGAAATAATATTTTATCATAAATTTTAGTGATGAAAAAACCAAAAGATTAAAAGCAAGACTGACTTGTTGGAAACTAAATTTCCATTAATCCCTTTTGTTTCTTTAGAACAAAGCCATAAGGAGAGTTATTTATGATGGAAGAAAAAGCTTAGGCAGCACTTTTGATTATGATTGAATTAACAGATATTTCATGGGCTGTCTGTTGATTGTACCAAGTTGCTTCTGCCCTCTGATGCAAATCTCTGGTAGCATCATTGTTCATTTCCCAGTGCTTTCCTAGATGGTTCTGGATTGACTGAGGATTTATATCACCTGAGGAGTGTAACAATGGTTTTGGGGATAAGACTGTCAAAAGGACTTCATGTCTCTCTTTTTCCTGTTATTTCAGCATTATTTGACTCAGTGACCAACATGTAATTTTCTGCACCAGAAGACAAGAAGGAAACAGCAGTTGTTAAGAAGTATGTTCATATATTACACCAAAACAAATGTCGTACTTTTTCACATTAATACTTTCCTAATCTCACTTTGTCGTGTAGCTAAGCTTTCTGTTGCTACAAGATGGAAACGTGTTCAGATTTATGAGAATCATTCATAGGAGACTTTCTGTCTTAAAAAGTAATTTCTTGTATGACAGTGATTGAAAGAAGACAGGGAGAATGCCAAACAACACTGGAATGCCTTCATGACCCCCAGCACCTGTTTCAAAGAGTTCCATTCAAAACATGGAAGATGGCATTACTCATCTACCTTAATGCCTTAAGCTTTTACCTCTCTTAATTTTAAATAACCCAACTAAACAAAAAACCCACAGGTCCCCTTCCCACATCCACTTGGAAATATGGCCTTAGCCCAAAGATTCCTGAAAACAACAGAGCTAGAACTTAAAAAGCTATTTGTACATATATTAAATAGAATTGGAGCTATTGCTCAATAAAGGTGTATCTTGTGAATGGATTGACACTGCCATAAAATTGAGAACTTCAGAGTTTAGATTGCAGTCTAGCTGAAATACTATTCAGAAGTCTGTCATTTCAGTGAATCTGCCATAACTTTTGCCTTCATTTCATATGATGTATTGTTCTAGTCTCAGTTTAAATAACAGATGAAGAGGAATTTCATTTGAATTTTGTTATCCCTAGATAAGCCATGCCTGCTGCAGCTGATGTAACTGTGGGGGACCTGCCTGTGAGACATACAGGTCTAACTCCAGCTGGAACTGAAGGATTACAAGGTTTGTACCAGCTGCTATTTATTACAGCTACAGACTTTGATCAGTGGCTTCTTTAGTTTCTTTCTAAAAATGTTTCTGATGTTGCCACTCACAAAATTAAGTTCAAATACCATTCAAAATCTGGGTTAAATTGTGAAAGATGCTGTGACCCATTCTATGTTCAAGTTGCTTGTTATAAGAGGGGAGTTGCTGTGAGATGGTAAAAACTGAAAATGTCATTGAGCTGTAACATTCATACTTCTAGAAGAAAAGAGGATTTTTTTGCTAAACCAAGGACAAGGTCAGATCAATTTCACAAAATGGGAACCAAAAGTATTATGCAATTCTGCTATGTCACTCAGCTGCTATTAGAATGGAACAACTGGGCTCAGTCTTGTATCTGAGTAAATTTACAGAATTATGAGTTATTATTTTCAAGCTTCAAGATACTATGTTAACTTTGGAACAGATTAGAAAAAATCCCTTAGGTAATCCTTATTTTGAGATAGCATATTTGGCAGAACCTGGTTACTTGGTAAACTGTTACCTTTGTGTTGTCTAGTATGAAAACAGGTCACTGTATAATTTTAATTGCTTTTTTTTTAATCTGTAAGAGGAAGGAAAAAGGAAGTGATTAAAATTACTATAAATCCAAAAAAATTAACAGACTCATACAAGTGTAAAATATAAAATTACTTGAAAAGTTGTGAGGGACTCAGTATTTCATAATGAGTTTTGACTTTGAGCTACATGTTGTTGAATGTATTGAAGGTAATTTAAAGTTGTCTTGGTTTGGATAGAATCAGGAACTGCACAGAATATGAAAGCTCAATGAGCCAGGTAACAAACCAGCCAAGAAGAACTGGAGGACAGGTTTCCTCATGTACATGATGATCACATCTTACTCCAGCAGCATAAAAATGAGCAAGAGGAAAAAACTAAAAGGTATGGGGGTTAATACTTTTATTTTAGCTTACAGTAATATTTTTGCCCTTTAAAACAAATTGAAAATGTTGATTTCTCTCAGAGCACTTTTTAAAGCAGTAGCAAAAATCACTCTTTGAAATAAATTATTTTTAATTTCTGGTTATGTCTGTATGTATGTCTTTGTGGTGGACTGTATTAGATCTCCCTGCAGTGAGCTACAGTGCTGTCTGTCACTTTGGAGCTGATACCTTGTGCTCAGAGCTGTGCTGTTAGAGTGTTCTGGGAACTGTAGAAGAGGCTGTGGAAGCCTAATGATTCATTAGGAATTTCATTCTAGAATCAAAGTTGTCTATACAGTGAGATTCCACCCCTGTTATTAAACTCAGTGCTGTGCTGGCAAACCAGTATGGGCTCAGCAGAAGTGTTCATGGTATTACTGAATTACAGGAGGGCTGATTAATCCAAAAGCACTGTGACTGTGCTCACGTTGTGCTGTACTTAAGAAAGTCATGCTGCATTCTAACAAGGTGTCAGAAACAAAACGATTCACAAAAGGGCATCTGAAAATATTGCTTCTGTAGATTTCATAATTTTTTTAAGTCCAAGGAATTCTTTTCTTCTGACTCAGCATTCAGTGAGTCAGGAACAAATTGAGCAGCATGATATAACTTCCATCTTTTCTGTCAGGCTGTTGTCAAATCCAAGATGGTGGAACAAATGAATTGTTTGCTTATTCCAAAGGGATTTCCTGTGTTTCTGTTAGATGCCTTACCAAATGCACTCATCATCCACTCAGGTAGCATTACACAGAATGTTCAAATTGGAATACCTGAATTAATGCTTTATGGCACAGAAAATAAAAAATACAGTGTTTGCTAGAGAAAAAACTTCTCAAGTTGAATTTCTTTTCCAGCATTCCTTGCCAAAACCCTTTTAACTAGAAGTTTGGAATGAATTTGCAGTAGAAGAACATTGAAAAAACTCCATGTAAACAAAAAACCTGCTTACAGGCAAGTAACATTCTGTGACATCCTGAAGTTATTAGGGATTTTTTTTTGTTTCACTTTTGTTCTTTTAAGTAGAAGCTTCTGTCCACAAGTATACAAAAAATAAAACAAGTCCCTTTAAACAAATGAAGTGTGTCCTTATTTTCAGTTTTTTTTCTAGGCCTTCAAAAATATATTTCCTGTAAACTAGATACAGGTCTCAAAGATGTGCAACTGACTTTATAAAGTCTTGAACTTGTCTCTCTCATCAAAGCCACCTTTTCTTTCTTTATATGCCAAGTTTTTTGCATTCACTTCTGGGTATGTTTTCTGTTCATGCATGTTACATCACCCCCACGTGCCCTCACTGCCTTTTGTTCTAGCTTACCAATGTTTATCAGAACCAAGGGAAATCAAAGGTACAACCTTTCAGATACCAAAAGCAAAATTTGTATCCTTCTAAAGACAGATGACAGCCATAACCTCTGTATCTAATTATATTCTGCAGCTAACTGTTCCTTCTCCAAAGCACACTGGAAATATTTGCCATGTATAAAATTGAGTATGGTAATGAGAACTATTAAGTTTTTTTTTTTGCCAGAGTGCCTTCTTAAATATCTCCACCTATATATTTCAGCCACTTTAGACATGGAATATATATTTAAATCCCAAAATACTAGAAATTGTATATAATTGGCATGTTGCATATTATTAGCATTCTTTCAATAGCTGAATGTTCTGTGGAATTGGAGCTTTTATAGTTTGCCCCACCACATCTCAAATCTGTAACTTTACTTAACAGCATGCAGAGGTTCCTATATAAGGTCATGCGTTAAAAATTACATTTAAGCACCATATGGAGTAAATATGTGTCCTCCCTTTGCTAACCTTAAATGATAAGCCTTAGGAAACTGTTATTTGTCAGTGCTATAAAGCAGATTGCTGCACAGTGGTTTCAATTATCTTCAAAGAGTTCTTCACAGGCAGTAATAGTTATATCAAAACCTGAAATTTATTATTCAGGTTCTATGCTGAAGTCTTCACAGTGATTATGTTCCTTTCAACAGAATGCTTTTTATGCTGACTTTTCACATTCTTTTTCATCTTTTTTATTATTTTCCCCAGAATGACCACCAAGTTAATACAGCTTGTTAATGATAGAAAAAGTCTGAGCAGGTTGGTGGCGGCCCCAAGTGGCTGGGTCAGGCCTGGAGCTGGAAGGGAGGATTGTGCATTGACAAGAAGAAGTTCATGAGCCTGAGAAACAAAGTGAGAGCCTCCCCTTTCAGCTGACCAGCAGCTCCAGATTCCAGGCCACAGACCTTGTCCATCCAGCTGGGTTCAATCTTTTATTAGCAGTGGGCTCAGAAAAGTGAGCAAGGCTGCTGATATGCCAGAGCACACAAGGAAAGGTGTCATTCACATTTATTAAAAACAATGGTTTATATCCCTAACAATTGCTTCACTGTAGCAAGTCCATACTCTTTTTTGTTCATCAGTGGGCAATAATAGTACCTGTAGGCAGAAAGGTTGTTCTTTCCCCTTGTTCTTATATTTATTTATAGCAGCCATGATAACTTGCTTGCCTTTGAAGTCCTTATTATGAGAATCCACAGTAGTTTGGGTTAAACAAAAGTACAGATTTGAGAAGACAGTAGCTATCAGGCAAGTTTTCTAATAGTTAAAATCATTGGACTTCCTTAGTAAAACTTCTCTACATGTTAAAGGGTTATAAAAGTAGTATATGAAAAAGTTTAGTGTTTTTATGTTATAACAAAGTTTCACATCTGTATTTTGTTTGCACATGTTTTTCCTTTTTTAATTTCAAGGTTTGTTCTAGTCTCTTGATACATGTGTGCACAGCACTGCAGGCTTGAAAAATCTCTCACACGTGTGGGCTTTGAAAAGCAGATACTGCAATGCAGCCATCTATAATGGTGCTTTTTACTGCTGAGACTTTCTGCTTAAGGCAGGCTCCCTTTCAGGCCTTTACTCACTGTAGTTACATTTAGGAATCGCACTTTAAAACTTTCATATTTTCATAGGAACATTATCAGTTAACCTATACACTGAACTGCTAATGTATTTTAAAAAAACCCAACAGCTACAGCAGTGATTCAAACCTGAGTCAGCAGAAATGTCTCCTTAACTTCCAGAGATCATGGATCAAGCTGGTGGCCAGTTACACCCTCACACCAGTCTTCATTTTTATTACATTGATTCAGGTATATGATAACAGCAACAAGTCTCGTGTTTTTAGATTTAAAAAAATGTTTGTTTCTACCAATTTGCCTGTCTAATCTATTTGTAGTGGAAGTTTTGATGATTTTCACACACCCATGTTTTTACACTTCGTATCATTGATTGGGCAGTTTTATTCCCAAAATCAATTTGTTTGGTTTTTGTCTTGACAATGCAAAAATAGGTTGGAAATATAATAAATTTATTCAGGCCCAGTGCTACCAGGTAGAAGAGGAACTTGGTTCTGGGAATACAAATGAAATGTTCATATGACAGAGTGGGAGGGCTTATCTTGGTATAAAAGCAGATCCAGATCTAAGATGTCCTGTGCAGAACTAGGATTGGGACCATATTGATTAAGGCAGAGATTCTTAAACTGAAGCAAACATGGGTAATTAAAAAAAAAAAAAAAAAGGGAAAAGTTGTTTACAGAAAGTCCAGCTCAAATAACAATGTTCAAAAATGTCATAGAAGTTCTGATGTGTCAGTCTGTTTTCTAAAGCCTTGTCCAAACCAGAGGGGATTCTGGTAATTTGAGTGCTCTGAATATGCAATTTCTTGAACGCACTTTCTTAAGACTTACTAGAAATCTAGTAACCAGTACTCAGAACCTGAACACAGGAGCATTGTCTTCCATAAGGACAGAGAATACTTTCTGTAATATTCATTAAACATTAACTATTTCATGTTTTTGTCTTGCATATGTCCTCATCCTCCCCTTTTGATCAATGATTATAAACCCAATAGACTGATGTTGGATTCATGCCCTCTTTTTTTAAAGACTGCTAACTCTTAGATTGCTCAGTCAAGCCTCTCAAATATTTTTTTAATGCAGATCAGAAAACATGCAGGACACTTATCCGAAAATATAATGCATGGAAAAATTCAGGAGAGCCTGGCTGTCTCTAGGTTATGAAGAGACAAAAAAAAAAATCCACAAAGAATAAATATACCTTACTGGGTGTTTGGCTGCTTTAAAAACACCGCAGCAAATTGATCCAAAAGATCTTCAATTAATTCTTGCAAAATTTTAGGTATAAATTCATAGCAAAAACATTTAATGTTCATTACTGCCCATGGGTAATTTGGAATCTAACAATGGTAGAAAACTTTTGGCCTTGTATGACGGTGGAGTAGCAAATTAGGTGTAGCTGTGCAGTGCAGTAAAGTGAGGCAAACATGCATGCAGAATGTGTTCATATTAAAGCCTCTGTTAGTTGAGTCTTTTAACTATCTTTCTCTTTTTTGCTTTTGCAAAAAAATAAATGCAAAATTCTGCAGCTTCGCAAGTATGTTTCCCTTTTGAATGTTTCAGATCGTTACCTTTAATGACGTTAAGGATCTAGTGGCATGATCCTGCAGTCCTTGCTAGTTTGATTTCAGTGGAAGTTCTTGATAAGAAATATGTCATCAGTTCTTTAACTGCCTTTCAAGGGAGGGACCCTGTTATTATGTGTGAGCATTCTTTTGTGCAGCAGTGGTGCTACATAAATAATACATCATAATGTTTGCTATTAAATTATTCATAAATTCATAAGTCTCCCCTATTCAGAATTTCCTTTATATAGTTTAAATGGGTTAAAGAAGTTGTTATCATAAATAATGTCTCGGTCTGTGCCTACAGTGAATTTAGAAAATATTTTAAATATTTTTTCATTATTTGAAAGTAATCTGTTTCGAAGAACTTCCATGCTTCGTTTTAGTATGAACACTCTTCTTCAAGTACAGCAGACAGAAACAGAAGATAACATCTAAATTTGATGTCAACTGCCATTCATTAAAAGTGAAAACTTTTAAGGAGTCTGAAAGTGAAGATGAACTTCAAATTCAGCTTAAAAAAATCTTCAGATAAAGCTGTGCTCTAAAAAGTAGTGGAGATCATTTATGTTCATCAAATTACTTGCATCCAAACCATGATACTTGACCTAAGTTACTATCTGTGAGTTAAGTTCTGAAATTATTTCCTTTATAGTCTGTTTCTAGTTTGAAACCTGATAGAAGGTATGCTAGTACTCGAGAGATGCTGTGTTGGACTGAAAATACTGGGAAATTAATTGAAAAATGTCCATCAGTACATTTGTAGAATAGTGTGTGTTCTATAATTTTGCCACCAGAATACTTTATGGAAGACTCTTAATCCTCAGGTTTTCCAAGTCATGTATTTTTTATTATGAATGCACAGAGCCAGAACTTTAAGGGATCCATGAATGTTATATTTTGGACACTTTCATTAGCTTGCTTTCTTGGGAGTGTTGTAACTGCTATCTAGAACACTCTGTATGAGTTGTTTTATTGCACAAGTAATCCTACAGGTTTTTTGTCATTTTTAATGTTTGTATCAGCAGAGAAGGAACTGTCAGTACTGGAATACCAGAAAAACCTGGACATTTGGGTGACCAACAAGGTCATCTTAGTTCGTCTTTGTAGCTTACATTTTTGAATTTTGATATTATTAGCAGCTTTTTCATGTGTTTTGTCAGAAAACACATGGCTGTCATCCTGCTACGTACCCACGTAAAGACAGAGTTGAAATTCTTTGGGAGCTGTGTGATGCCAACAGGATGGGGCTCCCACCAATCTCTCTGCTGCAGCACCATGTGATGTCAGCCTGCTGTTAGATTTCTGCCAACCTTTAGGAAAACATTCTTTATTTTGCTGCATGTTTAAGAAGTTCTTGTGATTGAAATAACTGTAGTTACCAAATGGTGAAGCAGCCACAGTTAATCATGAGTCCACCGTCAGTAAGGAAGGGAGGTGCTGGTTATCCTGAGTCCTATATCCACAAATATCCAGTCATATTTTAAAGCTGCTTTTGCAGCTTCACTGCAGTTTCTGTCTAACACTAGAGCTGCATACAAGAGTTGAGTTCACATGCAGCACTCCTTGAGATGATTGTTTTAATGTGGCTGCAATCAATGTTTTTTTTCCATATTCAACTGGAGTTTGTTTGGAGATTCTTTCAGGAATGTAGAAATCTGCCTTAAGGGACAAACTTGGCCTATGGATTATTAGACTAAACAAATTTTAAGCACAAAATTTATCTACAATTAACTGGACTGCTTGTAATGAAAAGATGGCTGAAACCACAGCCTTGTGATTTGATGCCTATGGTACACAGTGTGCAAGGTAAAGCATAAGTTCTAAATCAAATCATTTTGCAAGCAGGTATCTTCAAATTAGTTAGTAGCTCATTGTACTTTCCAAAAATATCTTTAAAGCCATCCCAGACTGCATTTGTGAAACAGATATTTGCATGTTTGTGCTTTTCATTGTGTGTTTTATTTAGTTGATTTTTTAATGAAAAGAAGCTTATTTGCTTGCCAGTTTTTAATTGCTTTGACATTTTTACTGCATTATTACTCTGGATTTAAACCTATTAGCTGTGTTACTGAAATCAGTTAGATGTATGTAGATCTATTAGATAGTACTGCACATTCATGCTCTTGTCTGCTAGGGGCTGTGTCTTGGACATTGGTGCATTTGTGGTTGAGAACAATCAGTTGAAAAGCCTTTTGTTTATTTTGCCAGATAGAGGGCAAGTGACCCTGAGAAGTTTGGTGGTGATACATATTTTACTTGCTTGGTTTTCAGTTCTGAGTGTGAATGGGTAAAAGTTTTCGAGCCACTAATCCAGTAAATACAATAGTCAGGACTCCTTAAGAGCAGTCTCAGTATTGAATCCATGTCCTGCTCATATGGAAGCAAAGACAAGATGCAAGGGATGTGGTTTAATTAGACCTCAGTTTTATTAGCTTAGCCATCTGGGATTTACTGGCATAAATTTGTACAGTGGAGGTCAAGATCCTTTCTTTAATCATTTCCTTCTGGTGTAAGTTGCTATCAGTGCCCCATTCCCACACAGCTGGTCCCCAGCCTGTTATTGGGACTCCACTCTGTGTGCTTTTAATCCAAATGATAAGAGGTCTGGAAGAGAGATTGTCTCTTTGGTGTAGTTCAGGCATTAACCCCAAAGATAATCCTTCGCTTTTTTAAGAGTCACTTTCTCCTCACTTCGTTTTCCATTTCAGATTTTAAAGCCAGCACGAAGATGAGGTTTAAAGGAAGGATGGAGTTCATGTTCCTGATTTCTGCAGTTGTGGTAGAAGGCATAGAGCTAGGATCAGTTTGCCCATTCATTCATGTTATTGCCTCCAAAGGGATATTAGTTCCTTTTCTTTTTCTGACTTCTGTTAAGTTCTACTTCTGTGTGTCCAGGTTCTGTGGCAATTTTTTTCCCCACTTTTTGGGCATTAAAGAAAATATTGCTTGAGCTATCTCAGTACAAGTTTAGCCTTATACTTTACTTTGAGGGAAGTATTTGTTTTAGTGAAAAATACTACTTAATTTATATTATTTTTGTATACAACCCCTATTTTTAAGTAATATCCAAATACCTGGGCAGATGTTCAGGGAGAATATACCTACCTGAGAGGGAGAAGCCTGTGTAGATCATCATTTTCTATTCTACTGGTTTGTGACTTCATTTCTAGAGGAATGATCCTTCCCAACAGTCTTGCTCAATTAACTGTGCCTTACCCATGAATTCTGAGAAGATCTCATTGTTCAACAGGAAGCTGTTTTTCACCTACCTGAATGCAATGGACATTTCTTAGGCATATTTTATTCAAATAAATAAAGAAATTGTGATAAATGTAATGCACTAATAAGTAATTAATTGCACCTGCTTTCTCTAGCTCTTAAAATTGCAAGGATTGAAATGATCCAAATAAAAAGTAATTTTTCACTTCTGAATTTGAATAATTTGCTCCATAATATTAATATCTAAAATTTGTTTGAATCAAATGCCGTTTCATTCACTGTTGAAAAAATAGTTAATGTTGACTGTCAGAAGCTATGGAGTTTACATCTGTACATCATAAATTTCACTATCATCTGCTCCTTTTTCTACTTAAAAAGAAAAAAAAAGTCCCCTGCTTAAAAAAGAAAGGAAAAAAAAGGGCCTTTGAAGGCATCAGACCCTTTTGTTTGATGTGTGGAACAAGATTAATAAAAACGTGCCACTACATTAGCTTTTAAATAGCTAGCATGAGACAGTGCTGCTGTCTATACTTACCACAACTGTAATTTATGTAGATAACATGTTTGAGACACATGATAGTTTTAGCTTTGAGTTAGGCCTGTTTCTTGGGGAAGATCTCAGATTTGTGACTGTGTTTATCTTTTTTGCAAGGACAATTAACTGGGTAATGCCAAAACACAATAGCATTTGATATTTCGAAGAATAAAAGGAAAATATTTCACGTATCCAGCTGGTTTACAGATGTGTAAGCTTTGTAGCCCATTCTCTTGCTCCAGCGTGGCATTGTGACCGTCTGTCCAATACATCTAAAATTGATAAATATTGGAAGAGAAAATGCTTTTTCAAATGTTAAGGATTTTTTTTTATTTATAGTAATTTATATTAATACAAATCATCATCAAATTTTGCTTTTGTAATCTTGGAATTGTAAGAATATCTACATAAATATTAAATTATTTTCATGTAGTTGACACACCTGCAGTATGTTTGAGTCCAGGCCTTCAGGTGTTACAAGTTGCTAAGACCTTTTTATTAGCAGAATTTGATATGTTTAAACTATAAGAGAGAATTAATAAAAATTATATTCTGCTGGCACCAAATACTTCAGATGATGGAAAAGAAAATGGAGAACAAATAATCTCTTTAAGTGTAGGATGGAAGTTTTTTCTGTCATGTCCTGTTTTATACAATAATCAAAGATGTTGATGTATTATTTAAAGCTGCTGTATCTTAATGTTTATCTACCTACATTCTGTAATCTCAATTATAGAAGAAGAAATTAGTTTGGGCATTACACACTAAATCTGCCACATTTTTGGAATTGAAAAAACTATTGTAGAAAGCTGATTTGCAAAATGAGTTCAACTTTTCAAAAGCTCATGATATATTTATTTTTAAATTTGAAGCCTAAACGTTTGAGACAGTGTGGAAATTATCAAGGTTGTAAACAACTGGTTGAGAAAAGCAGTTCTCTCTTAGCAATAGAATGGAAATTTCTCCAGTTTCAAGAGATATTTGGAATTTGGTCAGTACATTACTCTCATCACATAAGCCAGTGTAAATGGAAAAAAAAATATGCACAGTTCTTGATTTTCAGTCAATACTGAGTGCATGAAAACGAACCACTTCTCTCAAGCTGCTCCAAATGGAGGAAGGATTTTTAGTCTTAAGTTTTGGGCTTTTTTTAGAAGAGTCTAGGAGGCTATCCCAGGCAGATTGTGAAGAATGAACTGGGCAGTCTGGCCACTGAGAGAGACTTCTGATTATTTAAAGAGAGAGCTTTGACTTAAATATACAGATTTACCAAAAAAAAGGGGTACCAGACCACCCTCGTTTTATCAGTCTTTCATAAATTTAGGGAGATTTGGCTTTTTTGTTCTCAGTGATTCAGTTTGAACTTGTGTTCTTAAGTTCATGGAAATTATTTTAAAAGGCTACTGTAAGTAATGATTTTCATTATAAAAAGAACAGTTTTATGAAAATATCACTGAATGTGAAATTACAGCTCTTGCCTCCTTTTTCCCATGTGTGTTTGGAGAACTGCATGTGCACATGGAGGTGGTGTGATTGCAGCCTGGAAATGGGAGAGTTCCTGTGAGCAGGGGAATCCGAGCTGCAGCAGAGCTCTGTGAAGTGTCCTGGCCCTGTGAGCTGGAGCCACCAGGAATCCCTGTAACCTCTCACTGCTCTTACCCTACACCACACTTATGCCATGAGATTTTTGCTCCGTTCCTTTTTCCCCCATGTTTCATTTCTACCTTTTGCTGTGCTTTGCCTTCTTCCCCTCTGTGGTGCAATACCTGCATCCTTTCTGCCAAAGCAGCTCAAATCTAGTTGCTATGGTGAGCTATGTAAATTCCAGGGATGACAGGTTTCACATGGCTTTTTGGGTTCTTAAATAGAAAGCAATAAGTAAACTGTTCCATTTTAAATCATATGCAACTTTTTGGTAATTTACAACAAACATCGAGTGCTTTTGCCTCCTTCTTGGCAGCATCTGAATGGGAACATGGGCTTAGGACTCAAACTGCTATTTGAAGATATTGCTCTTAACATTCACAGTGAAAGGTGCATTTTGGAGAAGGATGAGTGTTTTCTGTGGCTCTTTTTTGTTATAAGAGAATGGACCCAATGGTTTTCCAATTTCAAATAATATGAATCTTTGAGACATGTCTACTAAATATGAATAACTGCAAAATCCAAAATTTCTAGTTTAGATGGCACATTACATACTTCCCCATTATAACTACTTTGTAGGAAGTAGTATATTGAAAAAACTGAAGCTAACTTTATTCTATCTGCAATCATTAAGCACTATCTATACCCACAAATGTATTTAGCATAGATTTTCATGCACTCAATTTATTAAACAGAAGATTGGCTTCTGTGCTCTGTTGTTTCAACTTTGAATATTATTTACATTGAAATTCTTAATGAATGAGGCTTTATTAAAGCATTTGTGGAATGTAGCTGCTGTAGTGTTAACTAATACTCTGAAAATAGAGGTTCTATCAGCATTCTTCATTTAATATTAAAATTGGTTAAATGTGCCTTAATGTCATCCATTGAAATAAATGAAAATATAAAAGAAATCAGAAGTGCCTTTTTAAAGTACTACTAGCAGGAAAAGAGAACTGAATGTATTAGGATTATGAACAATTATATATCTACAATTAAGGGTTAACAGAGCTGTGGCAAGCTCTGTGATTACCATAACTGTGGTCAACATTCATTTCTGCTTGCTGCTGCGGTGTTTTTTGGTCAGCATGTCTAACCACCATAACCACAGCAAAATCTTTTAATTGCTGAACAGATGTATTTCTTGGTTGTTTTCATCAGGACTGAACTGAGGGTTTAATGTTGATGAGAGCACCAGGAGTGCCACCTTCCCCCAGCCATGCCTTCCGTTACTTGGATCAAGAGTGTCTCCTGTTGACCACACTGGGAATAGATACACTAAATACTGCCAGGGAGACAGACCACTGCTGGAATACGCTGTGTTGTAACATTCTACTAGGTGTAATTAATTTTATTTTTTTCTGGATATTCCTTTCTTTTCATAGAGCCTAAAGAACTTAAAGACCAACCATGATGCTTAGGAAAAGGTGATGAACTGAATGAACAGCTTAAAGAGGGAGAGTTAAAATAGTTCCATCTTCAAAACAAATTGCAGTCAGTAGCTATTTCCAACAGAGGGACAGAGGAGGTGAGGCTGTGGGCAAGAGCTAGAATATTTTACTTTAGCTAGTGCATACAGAGAAGGGCAAAACAAATGTTGGGGTAGATTTCAATGGTGGAGATGTGAATAGACCTTTCAAACAAATTTAGAGGAGTGACCTGGTACTATATATATATTTATCCTATTCAAAATAAAAACTTCTAACCAAAATGCTGTTTGTATTTCATAGAGCTGTGACCCACACCTGATCCAAACCACCAGTGTTTGGACTATATTTGAAGTTAAAACATAAGACATCATGTGAATTCTGATACTAAAAAAGTTGTTCATTAGTAGAAAAAACCCATAATACTTGTTTATTGATCATGTATTGCTAGTTTCTAGCAATACTTTGTACCTGATTTAATTAGAGTACCGTGTTACATCTTACACAGCAGTTCAAATCAGTCACTCCTATTTCTATGTCTTGTCACTCTGAGAGACTTCTCTCATCACTAACAAGTTGTCCAGATACAGGGCTAAACATCAGATGGGGAATGGTTTCTTCCCCATTTTCTTCAATCTATAAGGAATAAAAATGCGAAAACCTGCCTGATTTTTCTTGCATTTTGTAGCAACTTATATTTAGTTTTACCACCTGCTTTACCTGTTGTAAATAAATGTATTTTATGTGACTCAAGTTTACCTCACAGATATTTTTGCCAAACATTTTAAATGTTGTAATGCATGGAGGGTAGATAGTCTCTATTTAAGTATCTCATGTCCTTAAACCAGGTCCTGCTGCAGTGATTGTTTTGGAAGCAAGGGTGTGTTGTTTCTATAATGTCACTAAAAATATTTTCTATGCAAAAGCCATGCCCTAGCTAATACTGATATTCCCTTACAAGAAGGAAATTTAAAAATAGAACACTCCAGGTTTTTATATTATTTTGCATAAGACAGGATGTGATTAGATTGTTGATCAACTGCAACATGGTACTCTCAGCTTCATCTAAACAACATGGAAAAGACTTTGGGCTAATGTAAATAAATCCATGTGGATTTATCTTATAAAGCTTCTGAGAGACAGTTGTATTAAAAGAACAAATAATAGCCTGACATGGCCTAAAATTATTTGCTATTTCTGTTCACACATTCATTGTAATTTCATTTTGTGCTGTGCACTACTTGAAACTTCTCTCTTCATTTTAATTACAGGAAAGAATAAACAATCCAGAAAAGAGAATGAACTCTTGAACAAAAACTATGATAAGCTGCATAAGGTAAGTTAGGATTTCTGCATACAGAGAATTTGATTCTGGTCCTTTTTAAATAGATCTTAATATACTGTGTGCTGTAATGTGTGTATTTATATTTTGTGCTTTTGCACATGCGTAACTCTCTTCAGGCTGCTGTTCATCATATGACTGAATATGGAAACTCTCAGGTGCTCTGCTGTATTTCATCAGCTCTGTTAAAAAACTTAACAGCTTAAAACTTTTTTTTTTTTTACTCAGGAGGTGCAACAGTTGTATAATCACAAAATTTAGAGTTTTGTATGGAGAAGTTGGTCACTTGTCTCTCACTTTAGTTAACTGCTGGAGATTTCTCCAAAATTTGATCATGTCATAAATATTTCTGATGATGTTTTTGTTTATTCTCAATCATTTATTCAGAGAAATAATTCTTACTAATAAATCAACTTAACAATCTTGGCTTGAAATTTTCTGTTCTACTTACAAACATAATGGGATGATAAAAGGATATTTAACAAGAGAAATTGAAAATAAGCTTACATTATTGCAAATAATCTATACTATGGTGTTTCTTTCACTAAAATTATCTGTCTTTTCATATACTCTCATTTAAACCTTGATTCATCTTTCATCATTCCATGTTATTGCATAGATATCAATAAATTAGAAAGAGAAGGATTCTAAAGCCACCATTTAATGGTCAGCTTTTTTGATTTCCTCTTTGAACAATGCAACTTTACTGGACCTTACCTGGGCTAGCAGTAGATAGGCCAGTGTCCACAGGTGCCACTTAATTAATAATTCTTTTTCAACTTTTAAGTGGAGGTAAAGGTGCATAAACCCATTCTTTGCTAAAGTTATTTCTGGGACATTTATTTGACGTTGATGGGGATTTTGCCAAAGCCAAGACTGCAGAACTGGATCTGAAAAATTTGCAAAGGCCAAGTATGAATTTGTCAGTTGACTCTTATTATTTAGTCAGTATTCAAGAAAACAGTTCGTTTGTATAAAAGGTTTGGAGGAATTGTTTTCATATGATCTTGTAATGCAAATCTAGCAATGCTTAAACTCCCTCCAAAGGAAATGGTGCCAGATGTGGTTGACCATTATAGTTACACAGATGGCTTCAACGCCAGTGAAATACAGTAAATATGAAAGAAATTCCACATGAATTCACGTAAATGTAATCTTAAAATTTGAAAGAAGAAAGCAACACACGTGGACTCAATTCAAACTGACATTAACATTAGCATTATATGGGTTCAGATACAACCTGTCTTCTAAATATTCTTCATTAAAACATCTAAATTCTTAACTACCATAATAATAATGCTTAATGATTTTTCTGCCAGCACAGTCTTCTAAAAAACTGAACTAACACCTGGCTGCATCCTTATGTGAAGTAATTTTACCTAAAGCTGATGAACTCACATATAACTGGGTGTTGTGGTCATTCAAACTTGAAAACATTTTCAGACGTGTGGAAACTGACAGTATTTCTTTTCTTTTGAAGAGAGTTATGCTTTCCTTATGGAAGCCAGTTAAACTCTAAGCAGTTAGAGGAGTTAGAGGACACACTGTTTCTTCTGTACCTTTGCAATACTGTGGGGTGGTAGTGGATTCAGTGCATTATATTGCCTGTAGATTACCAGCAAAATCATAGGAGAGTGATGCAGGTATTACTGCAGGACTTAGAGGCTCTTCTTTAGTTCATGCATGCTTTGAAAACAGTCACACTGTGAAATGCCTAGACAACTCTATACATAGGTTAGATATATTATGAGAAAAAGACAGTGCAGGGATTTACAATGTTTTAATGAATAATACATATAAGATTATAAACCCTATATACTTTATGTCTTACAGTTCTTGCTATAATATTTTACTTCTTTAATCTTAAAGCCATTCTTCAAATATATGAGATATAAATGCACTCACAGGAACTCAGATGTATCAGCATGCAGAGTCTGTGAACCTATGTGGGCTGTCCTCATGTGTCCTGTGTTCTGCAGCATCTCTTCCTCCGCTCTTTGTGGTCAAGCCTTGTTACACAGATCTCTTCTAGAGATAGGTGGATAAAAAAAATAGCGATCAGAAGATTTCTAATACATTGGTGTATGTAAAATACAAATTTTTTTGGCTGATGAGCTTCACCAAAGAGTTGAGGAACTGACTTTTTTTGTTTACAAAATCTTGCAATTACTATTTTTCATGGAGTACAAAAGTGAATAAACTGGTTTGTGCCTGGTGAAGATCGACTTTTTTTCAGTAAATAAGAATGCAAATATAGTAATATAAAGACTATACCACTGTGTCTAATTTATATGAAAACTCATTGCATAGCTTTGTCTTTTTGCCTACTGAGAATTACACTATAAATTATATAATTAACTTAATTTAGTTTTAATCTGAGTAATGCTTTTTGTTGTGGTTTCAGCAGTTCTAGTTCTGTGTCCATGCAATCCTTATTGCACATAGATTGGTAGTTTACAAGTAAATAATGTGTTACAGGCAAAGAAGTTATTCTAATTTCTTGGCCCACCTCTGTTTTTTTTCTTTAAAGTAGGAGAACGATTACTTTAAATGTGCTTCTTAATCAGTATCAGAATTGTTGTTTTACAGTATGAGAAAACTGTTGTCACTTTGTGGTCAACATTTTTCTTTGAACAGGCAACTGACTTTATGCTCTGCATGTTTCACAGATTTAAAAGAAATCAGGTGGATGATCCCAGTTCTCTACATTAAGAGGTTTTGTATGCGGAAAGAATGGTTTTGTTAGTTGTCAGTTGCTGAGGTTTGGACTTGTGGATTATTCTGGGATATGCATCTGAATTCCTTTTCTAGTCCCACAAATGTTGCATGCTGCCAACTTTTTGACTTTGGAGCTCTAAATTAAGGCCAGTTCCTTTGCTCATCCCACAAACTCTTTCATGTTGTTTAACCGCAGCCTGGGAAAGGCGCCTTGGTTTCAACAGCAGCAGACCAGCATGTGTTTACTTAATTCCTAAGACATGATGACAGTGGTCTCTGTGCCACTAAAAGCTTTTTTCTTTATTATTTTCTGTTGAAGCTGATTTCTAAAAGTTTTTCACATGCCATATGTTTTATTACAGTGTCTTCTGTATGACCCATGAACAGCAATGGAAATCAAAGGAACAGCAAATGAAACTGCAAATTGCTAAACTAGAGATGGCTATCAAATCTGATTTAGCAGACAAAAATGCAATCCTTGACAAGATCAAAGTAGAAAGAGGTATTTTTCTGAAAAAAAACTAATATTTTCTCAAGATGTGAGGTCATACCTATGTTGAAGTTCAGGAATATTGCCCAGAAAAGTGTCGTTTCTATTGCTGGTGATTTCAAAGCTGCCTTTTAAGTGAACATTTGTACAATATGCTAAGGTTATGACTAGCTATTAAGTACAAAAATTCACCAAATACAGATTATATGCTGAATGAGGCTCATATTTTTTCAGCTGCATTTATTCTTCTTCTGTTGGGTTAATACTTACTCTTTATGCAGTGTTTCTTCTCTCCTCTACATTGAAAGCTCTTACAGAAAAGAGGCCCATCTGACAGTTTCCCTCAAATTAAAAGGCACTATTCTATTTACTGTACAAAGTTACACAAAGTCTGTACAGGCCTTTGGAAATGTTTAATTGTCTTTCAACTTCATTAATTCAGAAATTTTTAATATTTTCAGTATACACTGATTTACAATAATACTTTTTTCTTTTAATCTACTGAAGAGATTATTTCATATGTGTCTTTCCCATGCTGTAGGGCAACTTCTCAGTGAATATTTAAGACTTTGCAATCTCTTTTTGTATCTCAACACTGTGTTATATATTGAGGCAATATATAAAGTTTACAAAAGAAGAGCATGGACCAGAAGTAACCTAAATATTTTTAGATTTGATTATTCAAATGTGTATTTTTAAAAAAAGTGTTTCTGTGAACAATTTAATGGAATGAACTTGTTGTGAATAATTCTTATGAGCATGGCTTCAGTTCATCATGAGCTTACTATTAAGATTCTGATAGCTTTATTGACATCTAATACTAAATTGAACATTTAAACAAATTTTTGACCACATCAAGTGTTAGCAAAATTGGCTTTAAGTGATGCTAATATAAATAAAGATACCTTAAGCTACATTAATATGAAGTTACAACATATTGGCAGTTGTTACTGATAGCCTGATTATATAATGCTAAATTTAAAATAATATTTAGAGCACGAAAATATCAGGGGCTGTACTATTATTTGGTTAAGCTGAATTTGGAAAATTAGGCAACACTTTCCATGCTCTGTCCTTCTGTGTTTAACTGCAATCTTTTAAGTGAATGCCTAATGTTTAAGTGGCAATCTTTGCCTTGCCCAGATTGGCACTTCATAGCTTCTTGTACCCCTGACTGTGTCACCAGGGTACTACACCTTTAATTGTTATTAAGTTGCTGCAGCTTGCATAGATATTCTAGTGCCCTTCAAGCCCTGTGTATCTAGGATTTGATTACAGCTTTTTATCATTGCTACTGCAGAAGTATTCACAGAATGATTCAGGTTGGAAGGGATAACAGGGGCATCATCTCACAGAATTGTAGAACACAGTGAGGAGTTGGAAGGCACCCACAAGGATCACCAAAGTCCAACTTCTGGCCCTGCACATTTTGCTCTTGTTTGGATGGAGTTTGTTTTGCCTTCCCTCTAAAAATTACCACTATATGGCAGAGGGAAATAATGAATAAATGGAATGACTTTGGCATATAGCTAAATAGGTATTGTGAACAAAAGGTTTGGCCAATTAAAGGAATACTATCAAAGGTTTTGGCAAAAGCAGGGTTTAATATGAATTTGTGAAAACATGGCTTTACTGAGTTTGTTGGCAAGGCTCACTTACTACACAGACTTAAAGCATACGAAGGAAGATTGAATTAGAAACAATTTGGAATGATTTGTATTAAATTCAGGAATGCAAAGGGGGTAAGTGTGCCAAGATATGGATGCAAAGATAAGGGTGCAAAAGAGTTTAGCAGTACTTAATCACTGAGTATTTTAACATTTACCAGGCAATCTCATAGGGTTCAATAGAGTTCTAACAATGACCTGGATGTAGGTATGAGATAGTAACATTCATACCATAATCCCTTCCCATACACAGATAAAGTGATGTGTGACCTATTCCATGTGTGTACGGGTACCCATCAACCTAAGAGGTACCTACCATGGATTCATGCTGTGGTGTGTTGCAATGTCCTGTTTTACCTTCTCCCTTCCCCCTCGCCCCTCGCTGAGTGTGCCCTGTCAATCAGGCTAACATACCAGCAAGGCGTCGTGTGATAGGTGACCCTAGTCCCTTGAGACCCTGCCCCTTCACCTGGTTGGTGGCTCACCTGTCCCCTCCCCTTCCCCTGTCCTGAGCTTAAAATGTTAATGAGACCATGCAGCCGGCATTCTGTTAGCAGCAGTGGCCCGGTGCAGACATATCTGTACTCATGGAATAAACATCTGGCAACCCTCCAGCAGAATCCTCCCTTTCTCTCCACCATCGCCAGAAGCTCTCTCTCCTGAGGTAACGGAGTCCTGACAGCCTGGATTTGCCCCGCTGCACTCTCCAGCAGCCAAGGTATCTCTGGGGTAAAACACCGCAGTGCTGCCTTTGGCCCAGCAGCAAGGGTCAGAACTGGCCCAGGCACCATCTAACTGGTTATATTGGGATTCATATTCCAATAGATTCAGTGAATAAATCACATCAAATCCCTTTGTGCTTCCCACCAGGCAGGGTTTAGACCTCAAAGACTCTGGAAATGTGTGGATGGGGATCAGCCCAGGCTTTGCTGGCTGCCATGGTCCTTCCAGGGTGGCAGATGTGAGGGTGGGCGAGCCTGGGAGGTGCCCGTGCAGAGGGAGGTGCTGGCACTGAAGGTGCTGGCTCTGCTGCAGCTCTCCAGGAGAGCACAGCAGGGCCTCACATCTCTGGGGTTTTACATGATTGACTTCACTGAGTTTCCATCCTGGACACTACCCTGCAATTGTAAAGAATTGTACTCAAAGGGAACCAAGGGAGTAAGATTAACTCCAATTAACTTCTGTACTGAAGATATTTTACCTTAGAGAATGTTTGTATTATGTGACAAGGCTGATTCTTTTTAAATTATATTCGTTTGCTTTTAAAATTGAAGATATTGTATAATTTATTTGTAAAAATTGCTAACTGAATAAGATAGTAGTGGAGCAGGTTTTCTTGGTTTTGTTTTTTTTTTTGAACTGAGTCTTGTAGAACTGAATGAGCTGAAATATAAATGAATCTGGAAATCTAAGAGGCTGAATATATGTTGACAGGTAGCAAGTGATTATAATAGTTATGTTTTCACAAATATACATCATTAGAGAATTTCTTTTTACTGTATCAATTATTTGTTACTGCAGTTGACAACTTCTCATTGTTTCCTGTGCTGCATAAGCAATGCCATTTTTTAAAGACTTTGCATATTGGCTATAACTCTTCAAGTTTAGAACTTTCGTAAGTTTTACCATTCAAGGGGTGTTATAAAGACTGTAAGTTTATCTTTTTATGTAGCATATGGGACAGGAGGTTAAACAAGAAAGGCTAGAAGATGATAAGGTGGAGATGGCTGAAGAAATTTAACAGGAGACAGAAAAGCTCTCACATCTGTCAGAGGAGCAGTTAGCTGACCAAACATCAATTACTTCTGGAAATGAGAGAGAAATAACTGAAGGATTGGAACCAGAAGGTAGAATTCATCTTTATGAATAAGTAACTGTATTTTGTTAATAAATCTATGTCTCTTTCCATTTTCTTAAGCATTTCTTACTAGCAGTGGGAGCTGCCTTGTTATGAGAAGCTCCATGACAGAAATTATAATCTGGTGTACTTTATAGCTGAAGCTGGGTAGTGGATATGGTGGTGTTATTTTCTTCCCAAATGGAAACTGTATCATAATTGAATGCAAAAATCTGGTATCTGACCTAGATTCATAAAATATTAAGGGAAACCTGGCTTCTATTTTAAATGTCTTTATATTTTCCCTTAGAACTATGCTGTTCTAAAGACCATTTTAATGAATATGCTCCTTTTGTCTGCAGATAACAGCCAATGCTGCTATTGGAAATCCTTTCAGACAGAGAGAGGGGTAGTATGTCTTATCATATTCGTGACTTAAGTTGTTAGAGGCAGATTTATTTAAAGATTATAAAAGGCAGGTCATCCTGTTCCACCTCTGAGCTTAAACTGTTTATCATTGAAATAGACCAAGTCCACAATACCAAGTTTACAGTAAAAGCATAAGCAGAATGCTAAAATTTAATGTTCATTTGTTTGCAGCTTCTGTGTAAGACTACATTAGAAAAATTGGAAAAAATATGATGTTGAATCCCTGTTGTGTTTATAAGTAATTTGCTTCAGAGGAGAAAAACCCAAAATGCTCTGAAATAATCCACCTGCATACAGAGTTTTTTTTTTTTTCTTTTAAAAAAAGGATAAATAAATCTTTATGTGTGCATGGTGTTAAACACAGTCAGAGGAAATCCACAAATTCAGGCCATAGTCGTGTATAAAGCTAACAGTTGTTCATACCTCAATTCATCACAGGACTTCTATCATCCCAGTCCTCAACTTTCATCGGGGAAGCACTGCTTTTTTATTTTGAGAAACCAGAAAAAAATACATCTAAATACATTTAGATGACTATAAAGGTCATTGATTTGCAGGGTTAATCTTCTGCAAGGAAGAGAAGATTTGCCTGGCAGTTATTCTTCATTTGTTAGTAAAGCACCTATATTGCTATCAGGCTCCTCAGCAAAACTCAGATGGACGGCAGTAAAGGGGTTTCACCACATTGATTCTTCCAATGTTTTTCACATCAAGGTGATAGTCCTCTTGAAGCAATAAAATCTGACAGAAATGACTGTATTATTTCAAATCCATTATCCAGTAATATTAAACAGCTGAGTCAGAATGTACATGGCAATTATTTGGCCCGACTAAAAAATATTTTAAACCTAATGAAGTCTAAGAGTAGCTTTGCTGTATCTAACATCAGTTTCCTGTAAAGTTATATATGTACAGTAGCAAATCACTTCAGTGTACTTCTTTTTCTATTATTATTTGGGGGCAAGTGCACTAATCATGTTCGCTTGATTTATGCTTAAAACCAGCAATTAATTACCACAAAGACATATATAAAAAATAAAACCACATTAATACAAATTTGGAACATTTTCTTGGAACAGTATTTCAGTAGAATAGTTCTGAAAAAAAAAATCATATTTTCTAATCTAAATTTGACTGAACAATGTTAAAAAATATAAAACTAGTAAGTAAAATTGATGACAGTGCTTCTAACAGTTAATACTTCTCTGATCTGTCTCAGCCTTCTTTTAAACAACCAGGGCTATACTGTTAGATCCTATCAGACTTCATGGTTTATGTTCTGCAGTGTGATATCCTAGAGGTAGCTTGATTTTTTTTAAATGCTCTTTTCAAGGCTGTGAAACATCCTACAAAGCAACAAGAAGCAATTCTTTGTATGAGAAATGTAGCTGTTCTTTGTTAAAGCTGTAGAAGAGGTTTTGAAATGCTATCACTCATGTATTCTTCAGAAAAATGCAGAGAGTACTTTTGAAGATGGAATTGCATTGTTTATTTGTATAATTTTAGAAACAATTGACACCTGTAATTTTGAGAACTAAAATTAGTGCTACTCATGTCTATTAAATCCAAATATAATGCACTTGTTCTATAATTTTCTGGTCATGTATTTTATCACAGTCATTTAAGAGCTCTTCTGTGAGAACTTTGTGTAGATTTATTTCAGGTTCATCAATTCCTACCTTTCCCCATTGATCTGTTCTTGTGGTAACAAAAATTCCTGTTCATGAAGGGTAGATGAAACAATAAAACCTCTGAACTATTAAGACAACAAGTATATTTGATAGAGATTGGATTTTTAAAATATGCATTGGTTTATATGAATTCTTGGGTTAATTTGGAATACAGCATGTCAAAATTGGTACTGAATTTGTATTTTTTTAAGATTAAGAATCACTGCCTTTTATCTTTTGAGATAAATATCCTGCTGGTAATCAAACAGTGTAAATAAAACTTGTGATTTTCTGAGATCGTTATGCTAATTATCCCCTAGATCTGAGTTGTATGCCAAACTGTTTAAGCCATTTAAGATCACACTGAGGTTTTTTTGCATGTTGCAAATTAGACAGTTCATGGTTATTTCTTAGATATGTTGATCACAAAGGGTATCTAACAGATTTTCCACTACTTAACTGTACCACTTGCTTCTTTCTCTTTTCTTCTTGTCTATGATGTATGATTAATCATAGATTACTTCATTTTGTTTCATTTCATTTACAACATTTATGAGCTTCACTTTGTCGGTATGAAATGCTTGTCCCCTTCTTTCCTTTCCAAAGTGGCATAATTAGTGTTAGCATCTTTTTTAACAGGCTACATAAAGTTTAGTGGCTGGATTAAATCAAGTCATTAACATAATGTGCTATACAATTTGCCCCTATCTCTTTTCGTTTCCAGTACATCAAAGTGCCACAGAGTGCCAGTGTAATTGGGCCTTGCTAGCTTGTCAGGTTCAGTCAGGCTGATGGCTGCTGCTTTTACTAAAAAGCTTCCAGGCATGATAATTAATAGAGAAAAGAAGTCTGAGAAATGTAAAAGTTTGGACAGTTCTCTATGAATATTTCATACATTTGAATAATCAGAAGTTAACATTATCAATTTGATGTATAATACATTGATTAAAAGCCTTGTTTCAGATCCTCAAAATAGACATCAAAACTGGGAATTTGCATTTTCTTTGGCATGGTCTTTATATTAAAAAAAAAAAATTAAAAAATCTTTTCTCTTCCATCCCCTCCTCCTTTACACTCCCATATCTACAACAAATCCATACAGGAAATTATATAGCATTCAGTTTTCACAATAAAATTTACTGCTGTCAACTTCCAAGTTGTCTTAAAATGTGCCATGAGGCAATCACTGGCAAACCCAGTTTGTTTGGTAGTGGTTCTGGTTTTTGCTCTCTTTTTTTCTTGCAGATGCCACAAGTGCACATTCTCTTGCTCTAACAGCAGTTTACTGATAGCAGCCATTATCTGTACCTGTAAATTAAGATATCAAGTTGTAACCAATTTTGACATGGAAATCTTTTTTAAACAGCAAAAAAGCCATACCAAGTGTTCACGGTTCTCCTGGTGAAGGGCACAAGCTTGTGCTAAGGCGAGAAGTTGTAAAGCTTCAAGGTTATGTATAGCAAATCAATAAAAACTATTCCTTTTACTATGGATTTTTTTGGGTACAATTACTTGAATATTGAATTACTTGTATTTCCACCTATGTGCTAGCTGTATTCATTTAAAAAAGGAAATTATTTGGATATTGTATTGCAGTTTTAAATTTTGGCTGATATGATTCCTCTTTACACTTATTTTCTGCAGGACATGAATGTCTTTAGTGTACTTCAGGGAGATTTTTGAGTGTTCAATTTTTTATTTCTCAACTTGGCTTGTGTTGTGGATTTAATCTGAATTTAGTGAATTTAGAGAATTAAATTTCAGGGTTTTAGTACTACTCTGTGTTACTCACCTGGCTCAATTCTACCATGCCAGAAATACTAATCCTTTGTGTTCTCCTACTCCTGTATAGAAGTAACCTCTGTTTCTTTGTGTTTTTCTTCTGTAAAAAATTGGGGAATTAAAAGTGCTGCACCAGCATATTTAATAAAACAAGAAGTAAAATCTATGAAACAGAACCATCTTATCAGAGTATGATAGCAGCAACTTGTTAAACTTTGTAGTCTGTGCTTTCAAAGACAACTGATTGGTCTAAGATTAAAAAGAACCATTTGCCATTCTCCACCTTTGAGGTGGTTGTTTGCTGGGGGTCACTATGATCCAGAAACTAAAGTAAAAGTGAATTTAAAGTATCCAGGAAATACCTAAGCTGTGTTTTGCAACTGATAAAGTGGGAGATGACAGAAGTTTGAGTAGACCCTGTGCTGAAATGATGGACTTACAACTTCTATCTACCACTTGTCAAATACACTTTGAAGTTGTAATTGAAAGCATTTACTGCAAGTCATTCTTTGAGATAGAAGAAATAAAAGAAGATGGAGAAATAATACCAAACACCACACAGCAGCTTTTAAAATGATTGAAAACTACATAATCTTAAGTAACTGCCCGTTATTTTTTTAGGTAACATAAAACAAATTAGTCAGAATATGAAATTAAGTAGAAGGCCAGATTTAAGGCTGAATATCTTTTTTTCCTCAAGGAATTTTCTGCCTTTCATGCCTTTTTAACTTAAGAATTATGCTTCCCTTTGAAATGAAAAGTAAGTTTACACAACATTTTAATTTCTTAATTATGTGACTGGTTGGTACCTGTGTACCTCACTGGCTTTGAGATTTGAACAAGTTGATGTTTGGTTTTTATTTTTTCTGATGGATCAATTGAAGATGAGTGATGAAACATTAAAAAAAGTGAAGTTTTCTCTTGGAAACAGTCTGCAGGAGTAGGTGTGCCTTCATTCAGGACAGTAACAATATAGCTTATTAAGTTTTCCCAGCTTCTTGGGGAGAAAATAAAATTCAGAATTATGCAAATTTATATCTCACCAATGAAACAGGTTCAGATATATTTATATTTTTGTATTATCCATCCCTAGAAACAGTTTATCTTTAAAATCTGTTAGTTGTGGCTGTGCCACGGGCAAGGTGCAAAACTGAATCTTTAAAACCAATTCCACTTCAGGAGAAATATTGAACAATTTTATGTTTTTTCTTCATAAAGGGTGTGAGGTGAGCTGAAGAGAAAGCAAGGACTATGCAAGTGATCAAAACTTCTGTTATGAGCAAAGTGCAACTGTGACTTCATGATCAGATGTAAAGTTTTCATGGTGATGGTGGGAAAGCACACTTCCCACTAGAACCTTCTATTTTCTAAAATATTTGGTGCTCTATACCTAATTAGCAATTGTCATTTTGGAAAGAAAAAGAGTTCATGGCTGGTACATTACAGATTTCATAGAGAGTCAGTACCTAATCACTGAATTGGCTCAAGCTGTAGCAAGTAATTAATGCCTTTGAAAATATAAAGGATTAATTTATGGTGGTCTGAAAAATGACGAATTTGGACTCTCCACCAGGTAAAAAGGCAGCAACCAGAGTTCCCTTCATTGACACAGGTAGATCTTTACATTCAGTGTGTGCTTGGTTCTAGCAAGAGATGAAGGGGTTGCATGGAGCCTTGTCTGGCGCTGAGCTCTGTCATTGCATTCTTCTCCTGGCACATCCAGGGCAGTGATGCTGCGAGAAGATTTTCTGTGCCTTTCCCCCTTCAGCAGGGACCACAAGAGTTATTCAACAAGGAGAGAGAGATCTCTGCCCCAGCTCTTAGGGAGAGTCTGAGGTGTATGTGCTTTATTAAAAAAAGTCCCATCCGTGTGGAGAAGGAGCAGGGAACATTTCTGTATCCCTCTTCCTGTTCTCACATCTACACCAGTGTGGGGGAAAGGTAAAAATAATTTCTCACATGAAAAGTCACTGCATACAGGACTAGAGTAATTTTTTTGCAATATGTATTTTTATGTGGATATGATTCTGTGTTGCCCTGTTAATCATAATTACTTAATGAGTAATGTTTGTGTCTCTGTACACTTGAATTACATTGATGTTCCTGTAATAGCATTTTTTGTGGCTCTGTTCTGACATTGTTAATAAGATGATCACAGGAATTCAGCACTTCATAGACCAAGAGGATTATTTCTCATTCAGTAATATATTTGTTAATCAATATTCATAGTGATTGAAATACTGATAGCAAATGGATGATTACTTGTGATTATTGGAGAATAGCTTATAGTTTATCTTATATGCTCTTTGCTTGAAATAGAAGTGAATAAGTGGACTCTGGAAATAAATATATAAAATGCTAAGGAGTAAAGCATGCAATTTTTTGAGCATTGGTAGATACAGGATTCAAGTTAATCTTACAGTTTAGAAGTTCCCTTTATTTAGAGTTTTTCAAGGCAATATATTAGTTAAAACTGTGGATGTAAAAAATAGGAGCGTTGGTCCTTTCAACTCAGCTGTTCTGTGCAGAAAGCACAAACTTATTTTTTAAAGCACTTCTGTGGGATACTGTTGTTGAGTATTTGATACAGTTGGAATTCTATTTTTCATATCGAAGTGTTAGCCTTTTATTGTAACCAAAAAGGAAATCAAAAAATGGAATATGCAGCTGCTTGTGGATGGCAGTCAAGACTAATTACAGAATTAAACCAAAGGTTTTTAATCTTAGAAATCAGAAAGGTGAGAAAAGTTGAGATTTCGAATTTGGATGTAATGTCCAATGCATTTAGTACTTACATTAATCCTAAAGATTTTGAAGGAGTTTGGTGATTCTTCCAAATCTTTGGGTAGCATTAATTACAAAGAGTCAGTATTAAATGGTCGAGAAAGCATTTTGGCATAGACTAAGTATCTTACCCATGTTTTGTTTTCCTAACCTGAAATGAAAGCACTGAACCAATTTCATTGAGACATTTTTGAAAGTGTTTAATATTCTTCAATATCTGCCCATAATCTGTGTTAGATGAAATTTTGTATTATATTTTGTTTTAAATACTAAATGTAAAGACTGATTTTATTCCCATTAAATAGAATTATTTGTGGGCAGTAGTTGACAAACTATCCATTGTTCACTTGAACAGTACCTAAAAAATGAGAAAAGGTTTTAAAAAAAGCATTTTAGGAATAGATTAGGAATAGATTTAAATAACATATTTCACTCTGCATCATAGAAATATAAATGGTTGTTTAAAAATGAATTCATATCATATATTGTATGTTATATATATATTCAGCATGAGTACATAATGTGAGTGGTTTTTTATTAGTGATGAAATATGACATGTGAGCTAATTCTGTTCTTAAGAAGTTCTATATTTTTGTTTTGTAAATATCTTTTCTAATCAGCTTGTGTTCTGCTTTGTATATGTTGTATTCAAATCTAATATCAATAAAAGTGGGACTCAAAATAGACTTGACTGTTAAGCTCCAAGATAATTTGTTATTTTTTCTTATAATTTTCTAGTAGTATGGCTCAGTCATTTGCTTCAGTTTAAGTAAGAAATCAGCATACCCGAATTTACCTCACTAGCCTTGAAAAAGTGTAATATTCTTTGCCTAGTGTATGCAATTACAAGTGTTAAATATGTCAAACAAATTTTAAGATATGTAAAAGGAACACTTTATAATGCAGGATATTGTATTTGGACTTGATTCATAAGCTACTGTCTGTGTACAAACTAGTCTGACATAGCTGCTAAATACTTTGGGGTGAACAAAACCACTCAGCAGATCCCTTTAAATACAGATGCTAATACATCTGTTCAGTGCAAGAAGAAAAGAGTTGTTTCTGAAGTAAAATTAGACAATAGAGCCAATTTCATTTTTTATGCATGTGAATGTAGAGTGCTTGAGGTTATTAGTTGAAACTGAGTAACCTTTCCAGGCTTTCATCTCTTTCTTTTCAAATTTGAATATGAAAAGCATATTCAAGTCAGAGACCATCACTTTAATGACATTTGGCAGTCATTTGATTTATTAGATTTTAGAAAAAAAAATTCCTTTTAAATATTTCATCATTCTATGCTAATCCCAGTAATATTGCCAGCTGAAGCCATGTACCTGTATTAGTGGAGACAGAATGGTGTGGAATTTTTTCTGTCATCCTAGTAAAATTTCCATGAATCTACTGAATAATAAAACAACCTTATTGAAATATTCAGATTTGGGTTTTTAGTTAAAGTGTCTTAGGATACATAATAAAAGGAAATGTCTTTTGAAAGGAGGGGGTAAAATTACTTCATCAAATATTGAAAGGACTTGACAGCAATGGAAATTGTTCTATATGATGGATATTTTTACAATAGGATACACCTGCTTTTCAGTTTGATTAATCATATAATTTGCTTGGGGAAATGTAAGCTATCTCCATAATGAATTAGAGTATTGACTTGCAGTTTGAACACTGAATCTAGAAAGCCAGTCTTCTGCATCTGATTAATACTTCAAGTGATTTAAGTTAAAATCAAAAATTGTCAAAATATTTCTACATAGGGGAAATATTTTTAATAAAGATATGAACTTGAAAGAAATGAAAGAAGTAAAAAGAAATTTTTTTGACATTTCTGTACTCCAACATGTTGTGTTTGCTCTTTGAAGAATGTTTTCTTTGAATGCTCAGCTACATACTCCACTTTGGAAACCAGAGTGGCTTTTCTTTCTTTAAATTACATGGGGAAGTACTTGTGACTTTCTGTTGAGTCTGACATTCACACTTAAATACAGAAACCTTATTACTATGTGTGTGTACACAATACCATTGACCTTGCTGAATAGTGTGAGACAATTTTACAAGGAAAAAAAAATGTAATTTTACTTAAAAGAGAATAAGAAAAGGTCTGATGAAGAATAATTGTGTTTAATTTTGTGATATTAATTTGAACTCTTAAAGGTATGTTTGATTTAACTAGTCAAGTTCAGGATATGAAGTTGAATTCCATATAAATGCAATTGCACTTTATATGCCTAACAATGGCATATAAACTTGGTGAATTTTTATTGAAGGGGGTATAATCTGCAGTAGGCACTGACAATTCTCTTCCGTTCGGAAAACTTTGGTACCTAATATTACTGAAACTGTTTCCAGCAGTTCCAGGATCACTTTGCTGTGTAGCTAAAAATAATGGCAACTGAAATTAGTGGTTCAAATAGCATTAGTACATAAAAATGACCATAACCTAATCTTCTTCAGTAAACTATGATTATTGCAAAAATATTTTAAGCATCAAATTTCAATCAGTATCTGTTGCAACAATATTCTTAACTGCAAACCATGGGGTTTAGGTTCTTGCTGTGTCTATGTCCAATCAATCCATCAGTGTTAATTGTACAAACTATCTGATGGTTCACAGGGATGTTTGGTTTGTGTTAACACTTCATGAAACACAAAATAATTATTTTGGTTTGTGTTTTGTTTCAAATAGGAAGTTGAAAGATCTGGATTAAAATTACATCACTTGGTGTTACAAAGTCATGGATTACATCAGATGAAAGAATACAGCAGCTGAGTGTAGAATGCAGGTGAAGCAATTTCCCTGCAGGGGACAATCCACTGTCACTTCCAAAGGCAGCAGGTGCTCAGAGGAGTGACTGTAACTGTGGGATCTCAGCACCTCAGGACTGAGGTGTCACCGAGAGCACCCTTGGGGGGCTCGGGAGTCCTGGAATGTTCCAGAAGTGTCTGGTGGCTGGACTTTGACCCTACACAGGAGACGACACCTGTATGAGGACAGGAGGGTTTCACCGGGGTGAATGGTGAAGGGATTGGTTAATTAGAGGGTGAGACACAGGGTTTAGGATTTCTGTACAGGGGGGTTTAGAGAAGTAAGATGGAGGAATTGGGGCGTGTCCTGTCCTCCTTCTTCTTCTTCTTCTCCTCCATCTTCTATGGTGATGGTGGCACTTTGGGATTGGTCATTACTGAAAGTGCACCGGACAATAAAAATAAAAAGGATTGGGGAAAAATGATAAATATTGTACACGTAACAATGGGTATAAAGATAGGTGACTGTCCGGAGGGCGGACACAGTGTGCTCATGGCTGACTGCTGAGCAGAGCTCTGTCGGGCCGAAAGAAAATCTTTTAGATAAACAATTAATAAACATAAAAACCGAAAGAAGAACTGAAGCCTCTTCTCGTCCTTTAATACGCGGGCTGCCCCAAGGCCACCTCGGGCCTTTCCAGGCCATCCAAACAGCCGAAAACCGGACATGTAACCATAGAGCTGGTGAGTGGGACCTATCCCTGAGCAGGTGTGTTCCTTCCCTAAAATTGTCTTATGAAAATGCCTGCAAGAAAGCCTATTTCCTATACATTAAATTTACATTTATCTCTGTACTGTTGTATTTGTCATTCTTCCAGCTCTTTGGGGAAATAGTACTGCTGGTTTTTAAGAACTGAGAGCAGGATGCAATTATTAAGTATAAACTAAAATACAAAAGTAGGCTTGTGTAAGAAATTGAAACTGCAATATATTTAAATTTGCTGGTAGCACACACATGTTAAAATTAGACTTTACACAACTATTTTTTTTTAAAGAGCACGACAAACTAATTTTTCTATTGATACATGATACAGAGGAAAAGGAAAAATTCTGTCCAACCATGTACAATTGAAATACATTTAGAGAAAATATGTCATGGACTTGATTATCACTTGTGAATGCTCAGTGTATCTTTAATTAGAATTTTTTAATGGGAAATTACTGTATTTAATACTAATAAATTGCTATTTACATAGAATACTGAATCCTGCATGTTGCATATGCTAGACTCTAATAAATGAACATCTGAAAGCATTCAGTCTCAATCCACCACTGTGATTCCAAGGACATGAATCTTTGAGGGCCTCGAGAAAGAAAAAGAAGCCCACCAAGAAAACAGTAGTTCTGTGAAGTCCTGAATTCACTGAGGCTTCCTTCTATTCAGACAAATGGGATTTCTGGCATCATGTGCTAAACAAGACACTGCATAAAGGAGAGCTCTTTATGAGCTGGAGAAGTTCATCTTGTTAGCTGCTGTAGGCACTTCTCCAGATGTTCTAGTTAGGCTGACATAAATTGAATATCTTTTTCAAAACCTATTGAAATAATACCATAAGCCAATGAAAGCTTCTTAAGGTTTTTAATTTCTCTTGCTTTTTGAATCTCATTGCTTTGAATATAAAAAACATTCACAAGATACAAAAGTCTTACACAATTCTGATTCCTGGGTATACTAGTTATAGTCTAAGCATAGTTGTATTTTGGGTATTTACTCTGCAAAGTTTAACTAAAAATGCAGGAAAGATACGATGAATACAAAATAAAATTTCAGAGTTTTAAGGTGATTGTGAAATTCAATACATTTCAAGCTGTGATATTTGAAAATAGCATCATGCTTTGGAGATACTGTAGTTCATAAGGGTTTCCAATGTGGTAGTGCTGTATTTTATTTTTTCTGTTATGCTTTTTCTATTTACTGCTTGGGTATGGATTATAAAACTGTTTGAACTTCAAAATATCCCAACAAATCAACATTAAAAGGTGGGGCTTGGCCTTAATTGCTTCAGGACTGTATTCTGCAGCATTATACTAATGTGGTTGTTATTTGTAGAGGTTTGCTTAGATAATTGGGTGTCTAATTTCGACTCAAGATTAGCTTTGTGCATAGGGGGAAAAACCTAATGAGTCTGCTTTTTGATAATACCAGTTGAGAAGCCAGTAAGATAATAGTAATGAAATCTGCATGTGTGTTTACTATAGCTTTGCTGCATCCCTTATTCATGTCTAATTAGATTTGAGTATGCTGAATATTTGAGGTTAATTGAATATTTTCTTTAATAAAAACGAGATTTGCATGGGTAGAACAAAATTTACTTTGAGCTTAGAAGGAAACTAATAGTCTTTTAGACTTTTGCATGGAGAAAATTGGAGTAAGTCCATAAGTAATCTAAAAAAATCACTAATTCTTATAATAAATAAAGCATTTTATATTATCTATAACTGGAACAGATTGACTGTTTTAAAAACATCTTAACTGTTACAGAAGGCTTCATGAGATTCATTGCTTTAAAAACATTTGAAGTTTTTCCCATACTATTTGCACATATTCACTATCATTGTTTGGCATGTGAGATAGAGAAAATTAACAAAACCGTGTTGAAAAACAAGATAGAGAGTTCAGTAATCTGGACATACAAGATCCCATGAATTTCCATTTTCACAGGTGGTTCAAGCATGTAACTTAGCATTAATTGGGTTTTTTCAACTATGACTCTTTCACTGAGAATGGTTAGAAGATCATTTTCTTTCTTCCAGAGTCTTGGAATAGAAACTTGGATGGGGGAGTTTAGACAGTTTAGGATCATGGTGCAAACATCTTGATTGCCCTTGACATTGGGGGGGCACCTCCTGATGACCAGAGGGACTGAGAGGACCTATTGTGTTTGGTACCACTGAAAAGACATATTGGAATATCCGAGAATGCCTCCAAACGCTTCAGGCCCATACATTCAAAGAGCAATGAAAATTGCCAAATTATACTGTGGTACCAGAGAACAGAGAGCAGAAATTGAAGGAAGACTTATGAAACCTGGCAAAGGTTTTATATCAAATCTAATTGGGAAGCAAAAACTTTTCTCTCTTAGAAATGTGACTATTTGAACAACTTGAAGTACAAATGAAAGTAGAGAGGAGAGATTTGGGAAAGATGGGATGTACTTTTTATTAAAAATAAATTTCTAAAGATCCTTATTCTGAAAGTGGATACTTCAAATGTTAAGGCTTTGCATCAGGAAACATTACTATAATTCTGTGTGTTTATTCCTTTTCTACAATAATTTCAAGATTGTGGAGCATTTTTTTTCTTCATTTGATGAAAATCAGCTTCATCATGTAGTTGTTCAGTTGTGTTAGAATGCGAACTATGAAAAAATTGAACTATAGCAGAACAGCAATATTTTGAATTTCAGAGATTTCTAACAAGGCTCCATGGTGATTGTAGTCTTCAGCTTTTATTACTTCTTTAGGACTAACTTAACAATTTTAATTTTAGAGGCAAACTGTCACGAGTTAATTTTGAATTATTTTTGCAATTAATTGGATAGAAATATGAGATGTTCCATGCCTTGCAGCAATGTTAATGCTTCTAAGTTCAGGCAGTACTAAGGGGTGCTATGAAAACA